GGTGTAAGTGTGTGTGTTTGTGCACGTTTTACAACGAAGAATATCTCTGAAAAAAGTCAATAAGCTAATGAAAATGTTCGCGAATAATGTTAAACCAATTAACCAAAATGAAAAAAAAAGAAAAAAAAAGAGTCCCCTTAAGTTCATAAAGGCTGCATAGTCTTTTAAAGAACAAGTGAAGAATGCATACTGGCAATATCAATTTTTAAAATAGGAGGGGAGAGGGTGGGGGGGCGGAGGAAGAAAGAAAGGAGCATACGGCAGATGGGCAAAAGAAAGTAATTGGAGGATGAGACAGGTTATGATATAGTGCATAATTTTCCCTTACCTCCATTTTTCTGTTTCTTTTCATCCTCGGTGAGAGACTGGGTAGCATCTGTGAACAAGAAAACGATCAAAAGAAGATCATCTTTACTGTATTCAAAACACTAGACTCCACACGAACATCAAACATGATTTTAATAACTCCCTTAAAAGGCAGTTCCATTAAAATATTATTGAGAAGCTATGATATTGTCATTATATTCTAAATGTCTTAGCTTTTCCAGATGCTCAAAAAATACCATATGATGTGTTTATGGCCGCTTGAAAGTTTTCAGGACTCATAATAGGCGCTTTCCGTTTTAACCTGTAATCCTTTCACGGTTGTTTTGGCAGATGCTCTCCAGTACAAGGTAATATCCAGTCACACAGGCAATGTGTCAGACCTATTAGTTCCTAATTGCTTACAGTTCGACCTTCCAACTTTACCAGGGAAACGTCTCACAGAAAAGAAAAACAGCAGAAACATCAGGAATAACAACTATAACGACGATAACAACAACGAAAACAACAACAACAACAATAACAATAACAACAACGATGATTGAACTGTCTCGAAAAAAAAAGAAAAAGGAAATAGGAACAAAAAAAACCTCCAACAAAAATCAAAAACAAAACAACCAAACAAACAAAATGAAGGAAATGAAAGTGCCTTTAAATTTCGTCTCCCTCGTTTATAGACAATGACATTTACTAACTTGGAACAAAGCCATAATTTTCAAACACGGAAGCAAAATGAAATCAGAAGGGTAGCCAAATAATTATATATTCATTCGAATTCGTTTAGCAATATCTATCACAAAGAAACATAGCAGACCATCCCCCCCC